AAAAGTTATGAAAGACATCGTTAAAATAGTCCAAGTTACTACAGTGGCTCAATCTTAAGTTTATCAAGAGACGAGAATACTTTTTGTGTGCAAAAAATAACGACTTTATTCAACTAATCATTTCCTTCTCTGTACGGCCGTGATATTTCACGTAGTGATATTGCGCAAAGCTTCTAGGTTGCACGTCACACGTAGGCTCACTATTGGCCGACGCTGGTCATGTGTGTGATGCGTGACGTACAACCTAGGAGCTTTGCGTAGTTTCACTACGTGAAATATCACGGCCCACAGAGAAGGAAATGATTAGTTGAATAAAGTCGTTATTTTTGTTTGTTTTTTGCGCACAAAAAGTATTCTTGTCGCTTGATAAACTTAAGATTGAGCCACTGTAGTCACTTGGACTATTTTAACGATGTCTTTCATAACTTTTGGGCCGGTCATGGAGGAGTGATCCAGCTCTTAGATTTAATCAAAAATTTCTTAATTTGTGTTCCGAAGATGAACGAAAGTCTTACGGGGTTGGAACAACATGAGGGTGAGTAATTACAGACAGAATTTTCATTTTTGGGTGAACTAACCCTTTAAATATGTTTTTGAAAGCATAATGGTGGATTTGCCATACAATTCTGTTGTCAGTGTCAATACTAGAAACTGGTTGTTGAATTGTCCCTGATGGCAGTCACAACTCTACTTTGACATACAAGTGTATACTGTATACTAAGACATAAAAGAAGACGAACATAAATGGAAAGCCTCAACATCATCCAAAGAATATGATGATCTATCACATCCGACTGCATATCAGAAGCAGACAGCTGTCATTTATCAGTATCTATGCTCTTCAGAGTTTTCATGCATTATAGAAAATAAACACCAATGCAACAGCTTCAAAGTTAGAGAGATCAAAAACAACACATGCTACACTCAAATAAATAAATGTTCTTCGATTTGAAATGTAGATATTTTCTTTACCACATCAATCATTTCATCAAGCTGTAAAAATCTAATTGGAACCTTTATTTCTAAAAGTGAGTCCAGTGAAATATGAGCATGCTTATATTAGCTTGTTAGTTATAGTTATTAGTCATGTAGTAATTGCCGCCTTCTCCTAAGTGACTTGCAGCACATCTTTATTACAGGGACAGCCCCCTGGAGCAATGGGTTAAGTGATTTGCTCAAGGGCACATGATGGTAGGGGACGTCTGAATGAGTGTGCATGAGAGTATGTGTTACATTATAAGACATGTTTACAAGTGCACTTGCAAATCATGAGTTAAAATGACTGACACATTGCATCTTAATCTTGCCACGACTACTGGTCTGACCTTTCACTGTCAAGTGAATCTGCAAAAGTCATCATGAAAATGTTTGGGTAAACCGATTACACTCAAACTTTGTCTCTTATAATCTCTGACGAAGAATGGGCTTTGTTATGGTTTAGCACATTTGTCAGTGATCTTCGAATTCCATTCCTTATCAGAAGATTTATCAGTATTAAATAAGATTTTATGTTGTAATCCGTTAAAAAAAAAAAGATGTGATGGGCATACTAGTCTGACTTATCCAAACGTCTGACTGTCTACGGGTGATATCGCAAAAACGCATCCAAATCCGGCAGCGAACTTATTATGTTGAAGGATTTTTGTTATCATTTTGCTTTTGCAAGACTTTCCCCCCATAACCCACACCTTAAAGCATCAATGCCATTTTTGCCAATATCAGCTCAAACTGAGCAATATCTCTGTCTAAAACTCATATCTTTACCGCAAGCCTTTCAGACTACAAATCACAGTGTGGCGGTTTCACTGCGGAGATAGAGTTCATCTCTCTTTACGACAGCTTTGGCTGGGGTCACAGTGTTGCAACGCAGCAGCTGGATTGTCATTTTTTCTGTCTAGAACAACATGAGCCAATATCTGTCTGCACCACTCTGCTCAAAAAGGTGTTTGGGAAAAATATAACAACCTAGCTGCCATGTAGCGACACTTATAACCTGTCAGCACTGTGAATGAAAAATGCAGCTATTAGAGTCTCCAGAAAGGAATCACATTAGATTTTCTTCTTTCCTTCCCTCTTTTTACCCCTCACCTTTTTCTGCATTTAAACTATTGAACCCAATCTAGTCTCATGCTGTATACTTTTGGTTATTATTAGCATCAAGTATATAGTCCACATTACATTAGAGTTGGGTAACTCTAAGCAAAGCAGAAAATACAGATCTGCTGAAGGCAAGGCTAAGAATTTAATACTCGCCAAGTGCTAAATTTGCAACAAATAAATAAAAAATAATAAAAATAAATTAATCAGCAACAACAACAACCTTGGTGAGTAAATAAAACATGACTCAAAATGTAAAATGCAATTATCTAAATAATCCAACTGTCATAGGGGCAAAAATATAAAATAATAATAAAATAAATAAATACATAAAATAACATCAGAAACAATGCATGACAACATTGTTATTGGGTAATTTCCAGATCTCACCACCCCCATTCTCTCTACTAGTAATACTACTAATAATAATAACAATAACAACAACAACAACAATATTTCCATCCCTAGGATATAATTTACTTTCTATTAAATATCTTCTTTTTTTTTTAACTCTTGAATATCTTTTAAAGATGCAATGTAAATTTGCACACCCAAATTATTTTTAAAAACACAATCTTAAAAACAGCCAATCAAATTGGAGCATGCGTTTTGGAGAAAGTTTTTGCAATGTTTGTGTTCAGTACGCATATAGACGGTACTTGAACAGTTTCTGGTCAGTCTATGGCGCACCACCTGAGGCTGAGACTTTACACACCACTGGTTTCAACTAAAGACAGAAAACTTGTTATGTGTTTTGCCCACTCATTTGCATGACAACAGCATTTTGGGGGCCTAAAAATTAAAGCTTTTGAAAATTGGTTTCAAAGAGCAAGTTTTTGAAAATGATACCGTTATTGTCTCCATGTAAACTACAAAAATGCGAATTTGTGAAACCGGTGACGTCCTACATACTGCATACATGCATATTACGTGCTCAATCGGGCGCTTAGTATTTCTTTACAAACGGACAGCGCCAACTACTGGCCTGGCCTGAATATACAACGTTTTATTAGTTTACGTGGATCTGTGTGAACAGGGATCGTTTTGACAAAGTTGTTGCCTGTACACGAAACTTTAAAAAAAAACTAACAAAGGAAAAACATTTAAATTTTTAGTACATCGTTGTCATGTAAACATACCCTAAGAAAACAGGTCATGCAAGCAAATAACAAATGAAGCTTCATTCCCGTCCACTAAATGTGATCAACTCTAAGAAAAGAGTAAAAAAAGAGAATGTGCAAGACATTCTCTTATATATTTAGCAGAAACAAAGAAAAGAAATTGAGAAATAGAACAAAATAAAAATCATGGGGTCCAATCACATCTAATCCTAAAATAAAATAAAAATGAACCAAATGAGAACACAGAGAGGTTCACATTTTAAGCACATTCTTTTATCTGCTGCCATTCATCTGTTAAACACATTAGGTGAATAGAACCACACTATGAGCTGACAGAGAAGCAAAGGTCCAGCGTGGCAGCACTTCAGATTGAGTCACTGCCAGTGATGAAATTATGTGGGCTGGTGAACATTAAATTACAGACAGTGAGATGTGAGATGTAGCTATATACTCAGTTTGCTTTTTCCTCATTCAAAAAAACCTGCAGTTTTCTATAAACAAGTGTTATTTAACGTTGACGCAGTTGAGTGAATAGACAAGCTAATGATGGCATTCAGTATTGGGGCAGAGCCTGGTGTGATCTCTAACATCAAAGGCTTAGATATGAGGAGAGAGGGAGGGGGTTATGATATACAGGCTTAATTTATGCGTGCATAGATAATGAAATCTCATTATGCTGACTTACCAAGATGGAACACATGCAGTAAACATTTGGATCTGCTGGTTAATTATACAATCCTGCATGCATTAAAATGACTATTCTGTGCAATGCTTAAGAATTATAAATAAAATTATAAATAAACATACAAAAATCAGAAGAGCTGGAAAGGCAGTTATGACTCACATAAAAGTCTTATCTTAAAGACTCATGGTGTGCATTATTTCTGTACCTCAGACGGTGTTGCCAGAATCATGCTACTGGTGCACATATTACCAAAGTGTTTTTTATTAAACCTTTTTCTGCATCTCTTGTAGCTTGAATTACTATCATGCAATCACTTAGAACGCTCCTCAAGCAAAATCAGTATTAAATAGCACATTTTGTTTTTATTAAACATCTCTTGCATACCGGTAAGCAAGCTAAATCAATTATCCAATCAAAATCTTAAACAAATTGCATTTTATCATAAAACTATGTCGCACACAAACCCCTAATCAATCTCTAATCATGTTCCATGCAGTTATTTACTAATCGAGTAAATATAGTTTGATCTGCCTTCATGAAATTATTCATTTAATAATCAATTAAAAAAAAAAACCACAAATGACAAACAATATCAAATCACTTAAATCAATATCAATAAATTTTAAGGACAATCAATATCAAGAGATCACATTAATTTCTAGTCTGATAGGCTTTCATGTAATTATTAATTTAACCCAATTAAAGAATACCAACAAGAAAATCACTAACAAATCATAACCTCATAGACACCCAAATCAATATTAAGTATTATTACCTATAAATCAGTTCTAGTCTGATCCATCATCAACTTATCAAGAAAGTCCATATGAAACTACTAAACAATCTAATCTGCCTTGATGCATTCATTCATTAATCAATAAATCGAAAGCACATAAAACACTTATAAATAATAATCAACGTCAACTGATCACTTATCAATCAATAACACTAATCAATTCACCACAGTTGTCATTTAGAAATCTCAAGCCTGCTTTTAAGCTATACCTCATTCATTGATAGAGCACTTATCAATGATAATCAATAGCACTTATCAATCAATGTATTGACTGGCATTAGAACTGCCTTCAGTGACTCACCAGTAATGTGGGGACTCCAGTGACCACCGCGTACAGCAGGGCGGGCGGGATGGCGCTCGTGTCCTCGGGTCCGAGGTAGGGTTTTGTGTACGCGGTCTCGTAGCAGAAGAATCCCTGCACGTGCACGTTGAACGTGTCTGTGTACTCGAAGTAATATGCCAGCATGACCGTGCCCGCCATGATCACCAGCTGGAAATAAAGCATGGTCGTCAGAGAGTGGGGCAGGAACATTTACCAACAATCCAGTGGAGAACCTCCAAACATCTGAGCTCCCGTTATAGTTCCCGCATCTCGCCGGGGTCTGACGCTCCGAGCGCACGCGAGGTTGGCACACGAAGACGCACTCGCTCGCATGGCACTGCGCTCGAGCCGGAATGAGAGAGCGAGAAAGAGGAGAGCGCGATAAAGTGCCACCGCGCGCTCCTCACTCCAAGCAGCTGATGATGAAGAGACACGTCAGGCGCCGTGCCCGCGCCTCATCATCATCATCGTCCGCTCAAAAGAGAGGCGCTATTCCGTCAGTCACTAATGTCACCTCTGCTCTAAAACTGACGAACAGCAACAAAACTGCAAAATATACGAATTCACAGACGGTACAATGCAAGAAAATCAAGTGATGATTTAAAGTAAAAAAATTGACCTATCATAAAATAACGCACGCACACACACAAACGCTAATGTTTAAAATAAACTGTAAACTTGATGGTTCGCGCAATGGCGCGCTAGTGTAATGCATTAGAATATTGCGTTACTCCCTGAAAAACTAATTGCATTACTTAGTTACTTTTTATGGAAAGTAATGCATTGCGGTACTTTTCTCACCTGGGCTGGGCTTGCTTGTTTGATTTTAAACATATTTTTGGCTACTGTAACTTGGCTCTTTCACACCAAAAGAACTATTTCACCTTTTTCAGTTATTATTACATTTCTTTTTTTAATAATAAACCTTAAATATTAAAACAGCTGTGATAAAGTCTCACAAGGATTATTTTTCCCCTTTGCCAAAAACATTAATAAAACTCATCTGCCCTGCTGGAAACCCCTCAGATTTCCACATTAACCTTGCAGAGAATCAATTACAGCGCTAGCATATGTTTGACTGTGTGATGTGGTAGAGCTGTACATCTGGTGAAAACTCTAGGAAAACTAATCATGATAATTGGGCTGTTATTTACATTACTGTGACAGTTAGGATGTGTTTCCACTGAGAAGAAACATGGCAGCTGGAGGGGGTGATTAGTGATTTTATCAGTGATTCTATAGAAGAACCATTTTTGGCTCACTAAAGAACCTTTCACTGAACAGTTCGTAAAATAACCTTTTTTTTTCTTAGTGTGAAGAACATTTTAATAATCCAAAGAACATTTTCTAAGAACCTTTTGTGTAATACAAGGTCCCATTGATGATAAAGGTTCTTCATGGAACTATGCTAATAAAGAACCTTTATTTTTAAGAGTGTGATCTTATGATATTGTGCTTTAATTTGACCATGTTTTTTCATATATTAGTAATGGACTACTCTACATTAATATTGTGTTGTTTGTTTCCAAAGATTTTCTTTAGCACTTGAGATCAGAAATGATTGATGATCTTGGGGATCTTGTTACTTGCTCTGAACATGTTCTGTATGAATCACTGAACATGAAAAGCATATTCTTGATTTTTACAGTTCAGAAACACCCTAAGGAACCAACTGACCTAGATTGTTTCCAAACCCACAGACCAATAAATCAGAGTCCTAATAAAGACATCACTACATACTGGCATATAAAGGAGACAATATTAGAAAGTAATGTAACAAATTAAAGTGATATTCATAAATCCATTAAAAGCAGACACTGCACATTGTATCGTTGCTTTTATAAACAGCTCCTACGGTATTAAAAGACCAACGACGGAAACCAACTTCAAAGCAAGTTGTGCACTTTATTTTCTAAGCTTCATGAGAAATTCATGGACTGTCTTCAGCATACTTAAGAAGATGGGAAGGGATTGTCATTTCTTTTTTCAAAATATTTGTGTCAGGCTGAGAAATTTATTGAAATAAATAGCATTCAATGAGAGGAGCAATAATACAACATTTGTGCAATACATGCAAGCGTATCACCATGACTCTGTTTCATTTCCACTGCAGAATACAAGTAAGGGGTCTATAAATTATGTTACTATTCTGATGTTCACCCTCAAGCGGTCCCAAAACTTACTTTCTTTTGCGGAACACACAAGTAGTTGTTTAGCATAATGTCCGTGCTGCTGATTGCAATGAAAGTGAATGGTGACTGTATTAAAGGCTCATTCAGTCGGGACTTTTATTCTGAAACCGTAGTCATGGTAATATGCAGAGCAGTGTACAGTAGTTAGTTGAGCTGCCGCTATCTGCTGTATATGTGTGATCTGTGCGAGCTGTCAGCTGTAAAGTTGTCGATTCCTGTTCGTTCGTGGTGATTGCTGCAGCTGTAATATCATGATGTTAGTCACTGACCTCCAAAACTATGTACATCATTGAATATACCTTTGTGGCTCATCCCTCTACCTCCAATACAAAGAATTAATCTGATCACCTGTCTCCTCATTATTTGTGCTCTTACCGGCACCCAGAAGGGTTTACTCATCCATCACCTAATCAGAACCTAACAGTCCAAATCCTCTCCAACAGTCACCAAGTGTCAATATGATTCGCTAGCGTGCAGCAGTTGGGTTCCGGATGTAAAAACATTAATTTTCTCTGTAAGGAAACTGATTTTGAATGACAACTTAAAAACCTAAAAAGACAGACGTGAGCTACAAGGTTGCTAATCGATGGTATTTGCTTCTGCTGAAGCCACCAGCCTGCATTATTTCAGCTTATTTTTTTAAATAATCATGTTTAATAGTGAAATTCCTGGTGGAAAAACTACATTACCCATGATGCTGTACAGAAAATTACACCAATCAGAGAGTCAAAAAAAGCAACATGTTCCAAAATAGCTCTTTAGCTCCGCCCACTCCCATTAAGCACTGCAAATGATGTAATCGAGATGATCTCCCTGTTCTCAAAATACTAAAATGTTTGTGTGTGTATATATATATATATATATATATATATGCATATTTTGCAATACACTTAAAATATATTGTTTTTATACATATGATCAAAGTTCATAAAAGAGTATTTTTATATTTCTCCATTTTAAATTTGATTATGCTGTTCGCAATGCTTAATGAGACTAGTTATTTTCCTCACTAAAACCGTTAATCTTGTACCTTTGTCTTTGTGTCCGATTTTCAAAAACATTTTAGCTTCAAATCAAAGTTTGTAGTGTTGTGATTCACCTTGTAGCTCATTGGCTTGGTTCATGGCTTACAACTCTTTAACAAAGACATTTTTAAAAATCCCTATATGGGAAAAATTTATAAATAATTAAAAAATGCTTCCGGAACCAGCGCCGCTGAAAAAGGGGACGGGGGCACTGTTGCACTCTATATGATTCATGCACTATAATATAAGTCTTAGGAAGTCTTTCAGTGAGGAAAATGATGAAATTTAAGTCTCATAATCTTCTCCGCTGCCACAGGCCACCTTTCATTTTCAATGTATGGAAAAGAGCAGAGTCCTGCTGGTCTACTAAAGAAAGAAAGTCATGTGGGTGAGAAAATGATGAGGGAATTTTCATTTTTGCCTGAATCTCTTTAAAAAACATCAGACATCTGTGCTGGTGGGCTGCAGTGTCATCTTCAATATGAGAGTGGCTTTAGATGAGATGGTACTCTGGAATTAAAGCTCATATACTATTGGATTCTTCTATTTGTATTATTTTGGATTCGTATTATTTTGTGAAGCAACCTTGGGTTCTTGAAAGGCGCTATAAAAAATAAACATAATATTATTATTATTATTATTCTATAAAGGGCTTCTTGTACAGCCAGCAAGTGCAGTTAGTTGGTGTTTGAAGGCCACCATACTTCAACAAAATGAAATGGTTCAACTACAAGACTGAATGTTTGATTAACATCAATTAGAATAGTCTCCCTGGCACATCAAACGTCTAAAATGGTCCCAGTTAGGGACAAAACACAATGACACTCCACACAGATAAAGAAAGGAGGTCAATTAGTTGCATGTAGATGTCTGAACATCAAGCGGAGAAGACTGATTCATTTTGAATAATAAAAGAATCATTGTAAAGTAGAGCAAACACATTAATACACCTCAAGGCCTAATACATTTTAGGTGTGCATGTATGTATAAATGATAAATATATAATTTATTTAAATATGAAATGCATTTAATTTAATTGTCAAAATAATAAAATGGGCAGAAACAACCATATTTGCATTGAAGTTACCAAGCCATCTAGGGACCAAAAAAACAAAGAGATGATGGGAATTGGTTCTTACTCCACCTAGCAACCACCTAAAACACCTTAGCAACCATATAGCAATACCCTGGAAACCCCATGGCAACCACTCACAACACCCTACTTTTGGACGTACTCCTATATTTGCATTTAAATGGTAAATGGCGGTAAATAGCGCTTTCACAGACCCAATGGCCACCAAAGCGCTTTACAATTTGCCTCACATTCACCCATTCATACACTCATTCATACACCAACGGCGGTGTCAGCCATTCAAGGCGCCATCCAGCTCGTCGGGAGCAGCTGGGGTTAGGTGTCTTGCTCATGGACACCTCGACACTTGGTCAGGTGGAACCGGGGATTGAACCACCAACCTTCCGGTTTGTAGACAACCTACATGAACCACTGAGCCACTGCCGCCCCAATTTAAGAAGTGACCAAAGCCATATCTATAGGAACCAGAATACCAAAGAAATGAAGAACACCTTAGATTAGAAATCCCCAAGAAACCACATAGCAATGCCCTGGCAACCACCCCCCTAGTTCTGGACATGGTCATATTTTATTCAGTAAAAAAACAAGCCATTTCCAGGGACCAGAATACCAAAGAGACACAAGCGATAGGCTAGCAACCACCTAGAACACCTTAGCAACCACCCACCGCCCCGGTGGGTGGTTGCAGCATTTGACAGCAACGCCCCGGCAACCACCCACAACACCCTTGTTTATAGACAAGCTCAGATTTTCTTCAGTATATAAATAGCCTATACGTTTTTAAGAGTCTAGGCTGAAAAACAAGTAATAGTCTTCTAGCTTGTTAAAAATCTGACCTGTTCTCTTGCATGTCCTGCTGGATGAGTCTTCTGTTCATAACAGTGAGCATAAGTGAAGATATGAAAAGGTCTGTTTTTTTGAGCCTCCAAAAGGACATAACTAAGCTCAGCATCAAAGCCATATAATAGCCTATAGAATGATTTAGGCAAGTATAAAGCATAAAAACTCTTTCTCTCCCTCTAATAGTTTGCCGTTGCTTGGTTAGCGGCTGTTCTATCACTTATTCATACAGCTCATGATTCTTTTAAATGACTTTGTGGCTTTAAGACAGATGCTTCACGGAGCACTTTAATCATCCACTTTTCCATATAAAGGTGTGGGTGTGATGAAGCATTAAA